GAAGGAGGCAAGGGCAAACCACTTCTGAAAAACCTTGTCAAGAAAACTGCAGGGATTTGTCCAGGCAGTCTCCAAGAATCGGACACAATTGGACGGATTAAAAAAAAAAAACATACTAAACCATTGTAGTTCTATTTTGCATTCCTTTGCTGATTTGGCATTTAAGTTGACCAAACTATCATACTTTTTTGTTTCAAGGGATTAATTTAATTATTTGGCATGCATCTAATTAGAAAACTATATAATACTAGAACAGTAATTTGTGAGTTAATAATTGCTTATTGGGTACTGAGATGGACTAAATCTGAGGCAGATATCACTGAAAGCTAATGTTTAATCTTTACCTGCACAACAAAGCAGAGGTAAGTAAGGTTTCTTTGATTTAAAGTGAAATAAATGAATGAAACGAATTTGACTGCCTGAAATGTTAATAGAAAGGTGTTCTACTGGGTGTCACTAAAAAGGAACTTTTCTCTATTTTTAATTACTGTTCTTGGGAAGGACACTACTCTGAAATTACAGTGTATAATCAGTTCTTTTAGCCTGTTACCACATTTATATATTACGAAATTATGAACAATACTTCTGAACTAGCTTGAAAAATATTACATTTCTGATTTTTATGTACTTTATTTGAATAAAACCTCAATGATTTAGCTGCATAATTATGGTAGCCTTTTGGGGGGTATACGAATTGGAAGGAAAATTATCTTTGATTTCCATAGATTATTATCTAATTATTTTCATTTCTTTTTAAGAGAAAATAACTCTTGTCTTTCAGTTACGTGATCTTTGGTATAAGCCCTTTATATCATAAATGCTGGTCAGTTAACTTCTGGCATTTCAGAATTTGAATCATGTTTATTCAAGTATACAAGGTTCCCTTTCTTTCAGGGTCAAGCCACACAGAGTCTTTTTGGAGTTGGGCAGCCTTAACAAATTCAATAAAATGAATAAATAATAAGTATTAGTGAAATGTGTAGGAGTGAAGGGGGAAAAATCCCTACTGTCTTGGCTTGTACATAGGCAGCAAGAAATTGGAGATGTTAAATACTTTACTTCATTGAAAAAAATGCAAAGTTGATTTTTAAAAGACTATATTTTTAAAAGTTGTTTGGTTACCACAGATGTATAGTTGTTTTTCTACATAGTAAAGCAAAAGTGATATTTCTGTATATTAGTACAAACAAAAATGTGAACTGTGCTTATAAGAGGTCCCTCCAAATTTAAATAAATCAATTCAAAAGAAAACTAGTATTTTAGAAAGATCTTAAGTAGTTGAGGAAATGATTTAAATAGCTGATTTAATTGGCTGGAATATGATGAGACCTGCTGCATAGGATTGGTCTGGGAATTATTCTGTATTCTCTTGTCTGTAAGGAATTTACAAGAGAAAATCTTTTTCCTTCTATCATCTAGCAAAAAAATGGGATGTTCTACGTTGCTGTTTCTTTTCATTTCAGGAACACTTTGCATGAGAAATAGCCTTAGTGGCAGATTAATAACTACAGATGTGTTTTTAAAAAAGTAGAAAATAGAGTGAATACCTTGCAAAATAAATACCATCTTTCATAGCAGTAGCTGAAGGAAACTGAGAGTTGATGTCATAATCCTATCAACCAATTAGTAATTTAACCTTCACATTAAAATTTCCTTTTTCAACTGGTTATATATTATTTTGTAAGAGAGTGATTGTTCCTTTTTCCCGCTACTGCTGTTGATGGACTGTTTCTAATATACTGACTACTGAAAAGTCTCTATTCATTACTTGGAACCAATTACTTGAAATACTTGGTAACTTTTAAAAATATTGTAGGCAGAGTACTCTAAAATTTTGCTGGCTAGAGGTTTTGAAGTGAATTTGACCTCAGCTTATTATGATTCCTTCATTACTGTTACTGAAAGTGGTAATTCTAAGTCTATATCCTGTATAATTTAGCTGTGGTAGTTCTAATTATATTCATATGGTTTCTGCTCAGATCTTGGATGGAAAGACAAATGAACTTTCTCTCTGTAAGCATGTGTGATATAAAATGAAGACTTTATTTTGCAAAATACTTTTTGAATCCTGTTTTTAGCATGCAGAACTTCCTTAATATTCATTCATAAAATCATTCATAAAATGTATTTATAGGTGGCTCATAACTAAAAAAAAAAGTGCCTATGGAGGAAGTATTTCTCCAGCATTGGTGCAAGAACTATATATGAGAAAATCACATGTAATTTTATAACAGACTATGTTGTGAGTAAACATGAAATTCCACTTAACTGATTATACCTCTATATGCATTATGGCGTGCATTTTCCTTTGCATATCTATGCATGGAGAAGAACAGAGTTATCCTGAATATAGGGCCGTCTGGATTTGCAGTCTTTCCAAAATGTGCCTATCCCAGTTGCTTCTCATTTTTTTTGTAGGGAATTGGGGAGGAATTTCTACCCCAGTGTTGTTCTTTGAGATAGGTTGGGTATAGAGTTTAACTCTGGCCCCAAATCTCCCAATGAATTTGTCTAAATTCAGTTCTTCATGATAAGAATTCAAAAATCCGATTCTTCATGAAATCCATTACATATTCAATATATTCTACAGGTTCCTAGTGTACTAATCCTTGCACAATTATATTTCAGGAACTTTATTTCAAGACCCTTGCTAAGCAGAAACAAAAGGAAGTAATGGAGAAGAATGGAAACAACCGAAAACTTCGGGTTTGTGTTGCTACGTGTAACAGGGCAGATTATTCAAAATTGGCCCCAATCATGTTTGGCCTTAAAGCAGAACCACAGTTCTTTGAACTGGATGTTGTGGTTCTGGGCTCTCACCTGATTGATGACTATGGGTAAGAGGCATAATTAATTTCTTCAAACATGCTTAACTTGGAATGGTGGGGATGGGTTTTCTTAAGATTGTTTTCTTTTTTCCAGGTTTATTGATTTGGAATAAAAGCTAATCCTTCAAATATTTCAAGCAGTTGCCAAGGCAGATCAGAACTAAATCAAATATTTGAATCATTTCCCCCTTATAATAATATCAAACTGGCTTACATAGAGCACCGAGTAGGATCCCAATCCATGCTTCAGATCCCTATCTATTAGGTTCAACAACAATTTCTTACTTTGATGATTCTGAGAATAGCAACAGAAACCAGTGATAATCTACCCTACTTGCTTATTTTCACAGCAGTTGTCTTTGAAGAGATGCTTCTGCATTTGCCAAAATGTATATATTTCTCAAAAATTTCTGAAGTCAGCATTTCTTAGGATTTGGGAACGAGTGCCCTGCAACTTAACAGATACCTGTTATATCTAACTTGGAGGGGCACTGTAGATACAGCCTTTGGAGAATGGTTTTATTTTGTTTTACAGGAAAGGATATGAGATTGGCACCTGTGAGCTAAAAAAAAGTTAAGAGAATTCATGGTTTTCCCGGCCCAAATCTTGCTCCACTGATAGAAATCTAACTGCTGTTAACACTAAATTGGGCAAGGCTGTTCTAAGAGAAAAAAAATAAAACATGGAATAGCTTGCTAGCATTCAGTCTTTAGAACTATAGATTGAAAAAGCCCAGGTTTTCCAATATAATAGATATAGGAAGGAATTGTGTCAGTTCATGTTTACATCTGTAGAGTAAATGTGTTTTCTTTTCCCTTTCTTAAACTTCTTGAACTTTATCTTGTTTTCATGTTGCAGATAGATTTGGGTTTGACAGCAGTGCTAGAATGTCAAAGTGATATGTCATTGTTTTTTCATTGCAGCTTTCCCTTTCTTTCATGTATCAATATTGTTCTAATCCTGTCAATTAAAAACAAGTTGAAGGAGGAAGGGCTCCAAACTTTTTTTTTCTTGCAGTGTGACCTGTTCTTATTTCAGCATAATCCATTTCCATTTCTATATTGTGAGCCCTACTAAAACCAGAAATTTTCAACTGTGTTAATTACTAGAATTGTAGCAATTCTTCTGAAGTCTGACCATTTGAATCCATCTTCAATTCAGTTTTTCAGAATCCATCTTCAGTTCAGTTTTTCATATATCAGTTTTTCATATATCAGCTCACATAGAAGGGTTTGCTTTTCCTTCTATGTGATTTTTACCCATTTTAAAGTTAGGATATAGAAAAACATATTGAAGGATTCGATTACCAAGTAGCTGTTGACACATTGTTTATCTATCGTCAGTGTCACTTTTGATATGCTACCTGTCTGTTGTCTCATGTTCTGCATATGATACTTAATAGGTTGTTTGACTATTTCAAAGGCTTCATTCCTTTTTGAGGTCCATATTTTTAGCTTAGCTACATTATATTCTTTCTTTTAACCAATCCCTGTTATTAAAAAAAGCATATTGCAATAATGATGAATAGGAATGTTCTCAAATGAGTAAATCTTACATAAATTGGGGAGAAAATCCCAAACTACTAATAAATACTTGAATTTATTTGAATGTATTAACAATAAAGTTTTAGAAATACTTATTATTATTCAATTTCTTGGGATCAACATTGTTAATATTACCCATCATTTCTTACTGTCAGAGAAATATATTGGTTATACCATTAATTTCAGTGGGTTTCGTATAACTAGCACACTGAACCTAGCACTTTGATGTTAAAGTATATGGCACTGCAGTCTAAACACTTTTACTTTTCCCTCTTTCCAGTAACACTTACCGTATGATTGAACAGGATGACTTTGACATCCATACCAGATTACACACGATAGTAAGAGGAGAGGATGAAGCAGCTATGGTGGAATCTGTTGGCCTTGCCTTAGTCAAGTTGCCTGATGTGCTCAATCGCCTGAAACCTGACATAATGATAGTCCATGGAGACAGGTTTGATGCTTTAGCGCTAGCTACATCTGCAGCCTTAATGAACATTCGAATTCTTCACATTGAAGGTGGAGAAGTCAGCGGGACCATAGATGATTCCATCAGGCATGCCATTACCAAGCTGGCTCATTACCACGTGTGTTGCACAAGGAGTGCAGAACAGCATTTGATCTCTATGTGTGAGGACCATGACCGCATCCTCCTGGCAGGATGCCCTTCATATGATAAGTTGCTGTCCGCAAAAAATAAGGATTACATGAGCGTTATCCGGATGTGGTTAGGTAAATGAGCTATATATGTACATGTAAGACTGTACCGTTTCATGAAGCAGACTACAGACTATCAAATTTATATTGCTTAATAATCTTATTGTATAATCCCAGGCACATAGCAAAAAGAGGTTTATTTGGCCCCTGTTGTGGCTTGCCATCATAATTGGTAGTTGCAATTGGCTTGGTGCACCAAAAAATGTTTGTCTTTAGATAATATATTAGAATTTATAATATATAAATTCCATAGCTGCACCATGGAATAGAACTCTAGATTAATCTTATCTATTAACCTCTGCATACATGCTGGATCATTAGGGACTACCAAAAAATTCTGTATTCAGTGTAATGAGCTACATCCAAAGTTATGCCATAGGGATCTTATTCAACACACTCCTGTATTCCCATCTGGATCCAAAATTAGTTCCAGAGTATGAAGGGAAACCTGTTCTAGCCATTCATAGAGAAGCACAATTGAATACAAATAAATGAAAAATAATACATTGTGGCCTGTATAATAAAAATAAAGTAGCATATATTTCACAATTCTGTGTTTGCTGTTTTTCACAAGATGTTCTTTAGTTCTTGTGTTTGTGGAGCAAATGCTTTCTTAATGTTTTTTTCCAAAATAAATAAATCAAATCTCTCTCCATTGCACAATAACAAGATATTGGTGACACTTTACTTCCTTTAGGACAGTTAGGAAGTTACATGAATTATCAGAAATTATTAATAGCTCTATTAAAGAAACAATTCTTGATCATATGTTCCCTATCTGCTGGTTAATCCAAGTACATTCCAAGTAGTTAATAACCTTTGAACAAAATTCTTATGGTAGAATAAATCGTGAAAAAATTCTTATTTTCTATGTATTTGTATTTTTGGGGGGGAGGCAACTTAATTATTTTGCTTTTACTTTTTAAGTGTATATGCAGGCATACATTTACATTGTTTTACCACAGGTGAGGATGTGAAACCAAAAGACTATATAATCGCTTTACAGCACCCTGTGACCACAGATATTAAACATTCCGTGAAGATGTTTGAACTGACTTTGGATGCCCTCATCTCTTTTAACAAGAGGACTTTGGTTTTATTCCCAAATATTGATGCAGGTGAGTGAGATTAATGTTATTTGTGAAATATAAAATTTAAGTGGCAGTGCTATGATTCTTACCCTTTCACTTCTTTGACACAAATACAGGTAGTCCTCAGTTAACAATGGTAATTGGGATTGGAATTTCCATTGCTAAGCAGTGCGGTCGTAAAGTGCAATGTCACATGACTGCGCTGCTTAGTGACAGCAGTTCTGGCACTTGCTGTTGTTAAGTGAATCCTGTGCCATTGTTAAGTCCTGTTGGCTTCCCCATTGACTTTGGTTGTTGGAAGCTGGCAGTGAAGGTTGCAAATGGCGATCACATGACCTTGGGACACTGTGGCATCGTAATTGCAAGCTGGTCGCTGAGCGCCCAGATTGCGACCATGTGATTGCGGGGATGCTGCAATGGCTGGAACTTCAAGGACTGTTTGTAAGTACCACTTGTTCAGTGCCGTCGTAAATTTGAACAGTCGCTGAGCAAGTGGTCATTAAGCAAGAACCACCTGTAATGAATATTCAAGGCCATTCAGCTTCCTGTCTCTCCTCTGAACCATCACAGAACTTCCAAAGATTCCTACACTCTTATATAAAATAAAGTATCATATTCTACATCTAAAATCTAAATCACATTGAAGTCCACATCTCTTTTGCTCATAAAAGATGGACTGAATTCTCAGTCTAAATTATATTAATCATCTTTAACTTTTATGTTAATGATTAGTGATTGATCCAGGAATAAGACTGTATTGCAGACCCTAGTTCTGTATCTGTTGGGTTGCTTCTCATTAACTCTGAATTTTTTTAGAAACTTGCATTTCTGAAAGCTAAAAATAGTCTCACCTGAATTCAGTAAAAGCCTTTTTTCTCCACCCATGTAGTCAGACACAAATATGCAGGAGGCTGGAAATAAAGATTATCTTGAAAAAAAATGGTTACCGTCATTGACCAGTGCTAAAATTATCTTGGAATTTCATTATGCAAAACTGCTTGTAATAATTTCTGAATACCTTCATAGTTATCTTATGCGTATTCAAAATGCATTAAAAGATTTATCGTGCTTTTATTACAGGGAGCAAAGAAATGGTTCGGGTAATGAGGAAGAAAGGTATTGAGCATCACCCAAATTTCCGCGCAGTAAAAAATGTCCCATTTGACCAGTTCGTTCAGTTATTGGCTCATGCAGGCTGCATGATTGGGAACAGTAGCTGTGGTGTACGAGAAGTCGGGGCATTTGGGACTCCTGTCATAAATCTTGGAACACGTCAGATAGGGAGAGAAACAGGTATTGTATTAAAAAAAGGCAAAAATGGCATTGCACTGTGTGTGTGTGTGTGTTTTAATTGAAAATTTCCTGTAGCCATGTCAAATCGTTTAGTAAAACTAAGGAAGGACACACATTCCTCATACTAGAGATAAGATTACTATAAAGTCATTCTCTTAACTCGAGTCTGAAATCTGTCAATGGAGGGAACTATCTGACAAATGGAAGCCTAACATACTGTTGTTAATGTAGAATTGGTACTTAACATTCCTAGGTGGGGTGGAAAAGAGGTTTTCTTCCTATATATGGCAAAACGAAGTTCTCAGCTGCAAGCCAACATTTTGTTGGTGTTCAGGCTAATTTCGACACGGTAAGTCTACTGCTACACTGAATCCAACTCTTTTAGAACTTGATATTTCCATGTTTGTCAGGTTAACGTATGCTGGTGGAGATGCACATGGTTTCATGTTGGAGGATTTATGGTTATGCCCTGTGACTACCCAGGGACCCTGCAACTTTGGCAGCAGAGAGTAGCACAGAAGAGTAAGCCTCCCTTGTCAGGTGGCTAGAGTAATTGCTGGTTTGCATAGTACCCAAGGCCTAAACGAAGGCCTCCAGTAGAGTTTACCTCCTGAATTCAGCTCTCCTCCTCCCCTCTTCCCAAACTGCTAAAGCTGCAAGGGAAGTGGGGAGGGAGGATTTGAAAGTTGGGATGAAGAACACCTTGCTCAACTTATTGATGGAAGTTGGAGGGCAGGGTTGGGCAGCTATTTTCATAGCGTCTCAATGGAAGCAAAGCATTTTCTGACTTGAACAGGGGGCTGATTGAAATTGTGATTTGTAATCAAGACAGGAAGCTGAGAAAAGCAAGGTAAAATGAGAGGAAATGCCTTTTCTTTTCTGTGCTTATTTTTTTTCTTCCTGTGAAAGAGTTGTCATAGGAGCCAGTTACTTGTACAATTTCCCTAACAGAGTGTACTCTGTTGGGTGACTGCTCTATGCTGTTAAGGGGCCAAGTGAGCATACTTATATTTTAATTCCTGTTAAGGCTGAGTAGGTTGGAAAGATCTGTGCACAATATAGCCAAATGCCATATTTGTCCATCACTCCAAAGTAAAAGCAAAATATACGAGTCCAGCCTTCGCGTTAAACAGGGTGAGCTCCTGTTTCCTCCCCAGTTCCTGTCAACC